ATTGAATTCGTAGAAAATTTTAAATACCTGGGGGTTTTTGTTGACTCTCGATTAATTTTTGATATTCATTATGAAAAAGTTATAAATAAGATAGTAGTAAAGTGGGATATTTATCGAGAGTTTCTGGATGTCCGAGTTCATATAGCAGAAAAATTATCTCTAATACCATCATTCTTCCAAACTTCTTGTACTGTTCGACTATTCTATATTAGCAAATAATTCCATTTATGAAAGACTGCAAATTTTACAAAATAAGTGCATGAGAATACTAATAAAGATAAATATACTCCAATTAGGCAAATGCTTAGCAAATTAAAATGGCTCAATGTAAAAAATTTTATCAAATATCTTGTGATGATATTCATTTATAAAGTAAAAAAAATATATTTCCATCAAGTCTAACTAATTTAACATCATCAAATGTCGACCATCATTTACATAATACCAGAAATAAAGATGACTTCCATTTAATGACCAAAAAGTATAACATATGCTACAAATCGGTATTCCATCAAGGGTTGATTGAATATAATAAATTATACTCGGAAATAAAAGACCAGAAAACTTTGACAAAATTTAAAGTAAAATTGAGAAATCACTTGTTAAATCTACAATTATAGGTTGCCCAGCATTTACATCATACACCATATGGCTTGAATTTACTAGTTCTAAGTTGTTTACAATTATTCTGATGTAGCCAAATGTGCTAAATAAATCTTTCTACTACTACTACTACTACTACTACTACTCTACTACTACTACTACTACTACTACTCTACGACTACTACTACTACTACTACTACTACTACTACTAATATAACGAGGTCAGTATTTAAAAAGCGATTGTACGAATTTAATAAATTAAGTTATGATATCAAGATGTGTGTCAGTTTGAAAATGTTTAAAGGGAAATTGAAAAAATATCTCATGGAAAACCAGAATTCATAGTAGTGAAATTGTGTATAAAAATATGTAGTCTTGAAGACAATATTTGTTATATACTGTGTAATATGGATATGATGGACTGTAGCATTAATGCTAAATAAATCTGAAACAACAAAAAAAAATTGTTCATGTATGATTCCTTCTAAGAGCTCGACATCTGGCAGTACATTAATTGGCCGCATGTTTGTATACGACTCAGAATTGTGCACTTTCGGAACAGAAGTAATTATTGTAGAACATTTTAATTTCGAATGAAATTCGCCGTACACTAAACGGTGATTCATTAGCGATAATAACTTCTCTCCAATAATGTTGAAACATTCTTTCAGAACCATTTTTGAAAGATGTTCGCTAGGATTCCCATACTTATTCGATGTAATTTTTTTTCAGACGATTGCAAGCGGATATAGGAAGCATGCAGTCAAAGAAACAAGGTATTATAAGATCGGCCGAATCTCTCGAGGGAGAGATCAAAGAACAGGAAGATAGGAGGAGCAAGTTGGAAGAAAGAATAAGTAAGGTCAGAATGGCTAGGACTCAGCTGAGTAGCAAACTAGACGAACTAAGTTCCGCAGCCGAACCTGAAGTACAAAATGTGCATTACCTGGTAAGTTGAATTTATCCTTTTGTATGTTGATTCAAAGTTTCTTTCTGCAGTTTTGAACAGCATATAAAAATCATTCGCCTTGATGGGCTGAATTATCTATCTATACTCTAGGCGCTGAAGAAAGAAACTAAACCCAAACAAATACACGCATATTGCTCGTGAGTGAGTGTTTAGGCGCAGGAGACATTACAGGACCGCATCAAGATATTATGGGTAGTCATCAAAAATTTCATACAAGATAATTATTATCTTTTACAGTAAATTTCAGTTAGAGATTCACAAATGAGTTAACTACACTTTTTAGTTATTAGTAAGTAAGCTGCGCGCACTCATTCAGAAGAGGAACTTGAATCTTCTGAATCGTTTAAATGAATTATTAGAGGTTCAATTTGGGTATCGATGACATTGTCCAAATCCCACATTTTGACCTCAACCTTCTCCCGAACGTGGCGGATACAGTTTTTCCATTCCTCTGCCGTAACTCTATTGACTGCGATGTGAAAGAGATTTTTAACATCAGAAAATTTTAAGTATTATTATTCGACGCCACGTATTGCTTTATGTTGGCCCAAATCAGCTCAGTAGGGTTCAGCTCACAATGGTAGGGTGGCAGTCTCAAGACAGTTTTATTTTGTTTTTTTGGCCATTTCGTCGATCATTTAAATCGTATTTGTATTATGTATATTGACTATACTTATCAATTCACCCTTGACCATGTTTCATCAAAATCGATCTGTTTGAGGCCAGCCATTGTTGTATGTTTGCTTTTTTAGTTGCCATTGTGGGAATTTTTTCTATTTTTCTAGAATGGTACGGGGCATTATCCAGTACAATAACAGCGTTATCTCCAGCTTTAGTAACATTTGGGAGAACCAATTTTCAAAGGCAATTGCCCGTCCATCTCCTCATGATAGTCCCCTGTCTTTTTGGATTCAAAGGCCACAGTGCTCGGGAACAAAGCCGTCTTCACTACCTACGTGACAAATGATCAGGCCGTTTGCCTTTTCCTGGAAATAAATTATTCCTTACACTATGGATTGATTAAATTTTGAAGGAATGAGGCAATTGAGTTCATTTAGCTGAATTTAAGAGTCACGGAATGCTGATCAAAAACTGAAAAACGTAGAAAATTGAAGTTGCAACTTCTCAAAACCCATTCAAAGCAAATTGACTGCACCCAAAAATGATAATAAATTTCAAATAACGCTTAAAAGAGGGTCGAAGTTTTTTTCCTAATGACTACACTGCGAATGCAACCATTTTTGGAGAATATCACACATTATCTGCTATCACAGCATATTATTTGCCCGAATTTATCAAAATTAAATTGCCGAATAGATGAAGGAGCTTAACTGCAGATTTTTCAATCCAGCCGAAAGACCGTCTAGAAAAGCCTGCCTTGATGATGCTACTGATTTGTCGACCCAAACTTTCGCTTGAGTATGTCCAGCATTCACCCACGTTTCGTCCAAATAGTAAATTTTTCTTTTTTCATCGCGAAACTTCCGAATCTTCCTAAGGTATTCCCTTCTCCACACAACAATTTCTTCTTTCTCTATTAACATACTGTTTCTTTCCCCGTTTCAAGAATCGAAAATTAAGTTCCTTCAAAAGTTTTCCGAATATGGTTCTTTTAAATGATGGAAGATCCTCATCAGCATTAACTAATCTTAATATCTTACCTACTGTAGGTATCTCATTTCGGAAGAAAAAATTATGCACTTTCCTCCTGATGGCAGTTCTGTCAAAGTCATCTACTCCGTCCGTTATCCTTTTTCTTGCAGGATACGGTTTTGGCTCAGAAAGGTGAGTGAGTGCTCCTATATTCCTTAATGATCCTATAAACACTGGACCGACATACTCCAGAAATATGTGCTACCTTACATATAACTTCGTCCACGACCAAATCGGGTTTTTCTTGAATTTGGTTTTTGTATATATTTAATATTTTTGTTTTTCATTTGCACTTAAATGTAGCTTCTTGGCCCTTTTTTTGGGTGGGGTTGCGCTGATGTCAACCACTTCGTCGGCTGTATCTGTGTCAGACATCGTATCTTAGGCAATATATAAACAAAACGTTCCACTCGCGAAAAACGAGTATACGCTACTGAATGCGTAATGCGTATGCAATGCAATCCTGTGCGTGAATTAACTGTTAGATGCCTGTCGTGTCATCTACAATCACGTTTACAAGTCCAAACCTGTGCAGATTCGTAGAGCGCCGACGACTGCTAGTGACCTTGAATTTGTCTGTAGATCGATGTTACTCCAGTCAATTTAGGTTCAAAGTGGATGTTTCTAAACCAATTTGTTGTTCCTACATCAAAAATATATCGATGATGTTTTGTACTGGGAGCTCATGAAAGGTCAAGGTAACTTATTTTAACAGTCATCCTTTTTTCTAGTCTCAAGATGACACGAAAAGGGTCTGTGGATTCACTAGAAATACACTGCCGAGGATGTTTAGACCTAAAGTGACTGGAGTATATCCGTGGATGCTTTCGAGGGATTTGTTCACGTGCTGATCACTGTTTACGTTTAATGTCTTTCTTCAGCGCCTAGAGTTTATCTACTGCTTCCTTGAACATTTTTATTTTTCTCAGCTTGACGGGGTTTCTAGAAACGACTAGGGATTCCCCCGTACTTTATTGTTATTTTGTTACCTTTATCAAAATAATTTTCCAGGAGCAAGAGTTAGATGAGTTGAAGACGTTCGAAACCGAGAAAACGGCGGAATTGGATCAGCTGAATGCTGAATCTAAACGAATCAAAACATCAATAATGGCTGAAGAAGAAAAATTAAAACAGTTAGGTCGATCAACAGAAGAGTATGACAATAGGATACAATCATTACAGGTACAACTTTAATTTTTAATTACCTTAAAAATTGAATCTTTAGAGGTTATTTTGTATTTCCAATCTGTATACAGGGTGGGTGGGTTTTTTTTTGAAAAACGCTCAGACCCGTCGATTTTGTTTTCGAGGGGGACACAAGTATGGCAAAAAATCACGTTAGCACGTGCAGCCCCTTAAGCGGGGGTGACGGCACCCCCATAATCTTAAGTGGAAAGGGGGTCGAGTGATACCTTATTTTAAAGGTCCTTCAATTCCCTTTATAATGATGTAAAATACATGAGCTTCAGTTCAGTAGTTTTGAAAATTTATTGATTTAAAGCTTAAAGTAGACTTTAATAGGTACATCAGATTAGTTTGTACTACTTTCAGAAGAAATTTGACTAAAAGAATTTACTTAATAAGTAAATGCTTTTCTTCACTACGCCCATGCTTCGTTTATCATTTTGTTGTTGAAAATAGCTATTGGAGCGTTTTTTTGTGGCAAAAAGTTATTTCTTGAAGAAAGATAAGGAAATATCTCGTACTTATTTTGAATAGGAATTTAGTACATAGTTTTTGCGATTGATTTGACCAAACTTTGTTGCTAAAATAACTTGCAACGCTTTATTACATAAATTAACCATGGTATATTCCACAGCAGAAAGAGTTGAAATTATCGAAATATTTTTCGGATATAATCAGTGCGCTAATAGAACAGCAGAAATATTTAATGAGCGACATGAGAACAGTAACGTGCATCGAAAATATGTTCTAGAACTTGTAGCTAAATTTCGGGAAACCGGGTCAGTCGCCAATAAAAAACGCAACATTGAAAATCCCATAAGGAACGAAGCAATAGAAGTGTGGGTTTTAGGGCAAGTCTATGTAGATCCTACGTTAAGTACCCGCAAATAGTCGACGTACTGTCCAACGGATTCTAAAGGCCCATAGTTTTCATCCGTATAAAATTCACCTGGTACAAGAACTTAATGAAGACGATTTTGATCGGCGATTACAATTTTGTGAAGATATGAGTGAACGAATTATAAGCGATGAACATTTTCTATTCAACACTTGCTTTTCCGACGAATGTTCCTTTTTCTTAAATGGCGTAGTAAATCGTCATAACTGCCGATATTGGTCCGATTCTAATCCCAGAATTTATCATGAGGTTCATACTCAGCAGCCACAAAAATTAAATGTTTGGGCTGGTATTTATGGCGATCATTTAGTTGGTCCTTTTTTCTTACCTGGAAATTTGACCGGTGAAATGTATTTGGAATTACTTGAAGACGCCATAGATCCTGCATTAACAGCCATAATTGAAAATCATTGCGAATAGGTTGATTTTCCAACAGGATGGTGCCCCACCACATTACGCATTACGTGTTCGACAATATTTAGATCAGACGTTTACAGATCGATGGATTGGTAGAAGAGGTGCCATTGAATGACCCCCAAGATCGCCAGATTTAACACCTTTGGATTTCTTTATGTGGGGCCATTTAAAAAGCAAAATCTATGCCACTCAGTCAACATCATTAGAAGACCTGCGACAAAGAATTGTGAATGGGTGCCTTCAAATTACTCTTCAAATATTGCAAAATGTGCTACAACGCCTTCACGGCCAAATTGGTTGAATTATGCTACGAACTGCTGCCTCATCCACCCTATTCTCCAGATTTGGCCCCGCGCTACTTCTTTTTGTTTCCAAACTTGAAAAGTGACTCGCCGGTCAGAAATTTGAGACGAATGAAGAGCTTATCGCCGCCACGGAGACCTACTCTCCAGAAAACGTATTTTTCAGGCGGGTTAAAGGAGTTGGAGCATCGCTGGATCAAGTAAGTCGAGCTAATAGGAGGCTATTTTGAGAAACAAATCCAAAAATTTCGCATTTCTTTAGTACGCTAAGTACTTATCGGACCGCGCTCGTATATACAAAAAGCGATGAACTCTCGGAACAATTGACGTTTTCTATGTTGCAGAATGAAGTTAAGGAAAGCCGTTCGCAGTTGCAAAGAATATCCAGCAGTGATGAATTTGACAAAAGGCGGATAGCGGAATATAAAGAGAAGTTGAAAACCGCCAAGGAACAAGAATCGTTGTGTATGGATACGTTGAAAAAATTGGAGGAAGGTGCCATTAAAGTCGGTGATAGGATATCAGATTTAAGGTAAAGCTTTGTGTTGTTTGGTTTTCTCTAGCAACCCCTGACAATCATCAGTGTCGCCAGTTTCACGTGATTATCGTCACAATACAGGTGGCGCCCTGTAGCATTTTTCATGTACGCCCATGGCAGCAACAGAGAAAAAATCAGGTTCTGTCCCTTTCGAGTACGTCATTGAATATTGTTGTTGTTGTTGTTTTCAGGCAAGTCGAAAGGATCACGAATGAAATAAATCGGACAAAGCATCGAATAGAGAGCATTGAAACGGATACGGGCAATATAAATGCCGTCAAAAAGAGATATAAGGAATTGGAGGAGAAGCAAAGAAATTGCACTGAATTGATCAGCTGCTTGCAAACTGACATAAAAGAATTGAAGACGGCATTAGAACAGAGAAAGTCTTACTATCAAAAGACAGAAAAATATTTTATTACGACAATAAAATGTTATTTCGCAAAGATACTAGAATCGAGGCAGTTCAAGGTAAGAGAAGTGGTTTGCTCTATTAAAAAAATATAAAAAAAATAATTACCAAAAGAAACTTTTTCCCATATCCCTTGTGTGCACCAGGGATATGCAATTAAGTGGACTTTTTCTCGAAATACGAAAAAGCTCAAGAGACAAAAAAGTTGTATTTGTTTAATCCAAAGAGCATAATAAAAATTGCACAAAAGTCAGCGGCGTACATTTTTTGTCACAAATATTTGTTCAGATCCCGCACTGGACTTAATAAATTTTAAGTTGAGGCAAAATTAGCTCCTTAATGTTATAAATACCACCGCCAAATTATACTAAGTGACATATAAATCCGAACACCCAGTTTAAATGGTTTTATTTTAATAAAAGTTGGTGAATGTATTTATCTTACTGTAAATAACAAGTTACGATGCCTAGAGTACGGAGACCTGTACGATTTCGTCAACTTAGTGAGTTTGCTGGGGCCGTATAGTGGGACTTCGGGAAGCTGGACTTTCTTTTCGGGCAATTGCAGTTAGAGTGCAAAGAAGTGTAGACACTGTGGTTAGGTGTTGTCAGGCATGGCTTCGAGAAGGCCGTACGCAAAGAGCAAGGGGCACTGGATGCCGCCGTAGAACAACAGACCGTGAAGATCGCTGCCTAAGATTATTGGCCTTCGGGGACCGTTTCTCCACCACCAGGTCCATTGCAAATGAATGGTTTGCAGAACACGGAAGACCTATTGGCATGCGAAGTGTTTACCGACGAATGAGAAGTTTTGGCTTGTTTTCCTACCGGCCACACTGGGTCCTCCCTTTAACTCGAGAACACCGACGTAATCGCCTTGAGTGGTGCAGACAACGGTCACTCTGGGATCAGGAATGGAACAGTATTGCCTTTAGTGAAGAGTCTCGATTTTGTTTAGGCATGCACGATGGTCGTGCCAGGGTTAGAAGGCGACGTGGTGAAAGGAGGAATCCACAGTTTTTTGTTGAAAGACATGTTCATCGCACTGTTTGAGTTATGGTTTGGGGTGCTATAGCTTATGGTTCCAGGTCACCTTTAATCTTCATCAGAGGTAACATGAACGCGCAGCGTTATATCCACGAAGTTCTAGAACCCCATCTTTTACCCTATCTTGACACCCTGGCAGATCCAACTTTCCAACAAGATAATGCCCGACCACATGTTGCAAGAGTCACAATAGACTTCTTTCAACATAATGATGTCACATTGTTACCATGGCCACCAAGATCTCCCGACTTATCCCCAATTGAGCACGTGTGGGATGTGATGGGTAGGAGATTGCTCGTCGTCCTCCTCAGACTCTAGAAGCACTTCGAGAGGAGTTGGTGGTTGCCTGGAATGAGATACCACAGGAGGACATTGACCACCTGATCAGAAGCATGCCTAGGCGTGTTGGAGAATGCGTAGCACATCAGGGTGCATCCACACATTATTAAAGGTCAAAGGGCTTTAAAGCAGTGCAATCATTTTTATCATTTACTTATTATGCTTCATTAAGTACTTACAAAATTTTATTAAAATAAAACCATTTAAACTGCGTGTTCGGATTTATATGTCACTTAGTATATAACAAAATTAGGTAAAGGATATTTAAGAAATTTACGAAAAACCTTTTTTTTTTAATGTTAACACCCTTTATCTTGAGAACGAACAATTTGCGACCTATGCTTATATGAACCTTTTGTCTTAAAATTACTCAAACAACCTGTATTTTCTCAGGGATATATGGACATAAAAATGAAAGAAGAAACGTTGGAGTTGGTAGTTCAACCGCAACATGGCTCGCAGGGAGTCACCACCACAGCAAATCTGTCTGGTGGCGAGAGGTCTTTTTCAACTGTTGCATTCCTCTATTCTCTGTGGCAGTGCATGGAATTTCCATTTTACTTTCTTGACGAATTTGACGTGTATATGGTAAGTATTTTAGATTGTATCCGAATGAAATTTATTTATGAGAAAGAAACTACAGTCACTTCAAAGGATTGAAGCATAAGTAGTGAAACACCACTCACGCCAATAGGGAATAAAAATTTACAGGGTGGGCCATTAAGTTGGGCGGATTTTAAAAAATCAGAAAAAACTACAAAGCGTAGGGACGATAATTTATATTTTTAATAAAGTAGACACACAGGGTTGTTATGTTTTAATCAGAATCCTTAAATCCGTATTTTTAATATATAAAATCATGGAAAATGTACATAGAATAAATTTTTAGTTTTCACTACTTTTAGTAAAAAAATTTACGTTTTTCACAATTCTCCCACTTTGAGGAAATAGGTTTCGTAGAAACATCATCATTTTCGGTATCAGATCTATCTGATACATGAATATTTTGTTTTTCTGAAAAACTTCCTTGTTTTAGTTGTTTACAATTGTTAATATGCTTGCGCATTCTAGCCACCAGGGGCACTATATCCATATTGCAGCCTAAACATTTTGCTCTTTTATTTATTTTCGAGCCAGATTTGGCATCAGTCTCCTTAAAATATTTCGACACGGGATCCTTTATCATCCCTGTCATTGCCTTTATTTTTTTGCCGATCTTTAATGCACAAAAAACAAAACACACCACCACGCTACGACTTCGCACATTTGAATATTGAAGATAGCAACGCGAAAAATTACCTAAAGGCAAAGGGTTTAAATTAGAGATGTGTTCTGATAGAGCTGAATCAAAATAGTAATAACACTTTCAAGGAACTTCATTAACGTTACTAGATTATACAGGGTGTAGATCTTGAAAACATAAGCAATTTTTTTAGTACCATATACACCAATGTCTTAAGGGAACCGAGATAAAGGGCTCTGCAACATCAAAAATATCTGAATATCGTCCTGTAGCCGCGACATCCCCGACTGGTACTAGGACACTAGCTCAACCCGACGACAGAACTGGGTCGAGGTCAGTGTGTCAGGTCAGTGTGCAACCTTCAACCGACGGTTACGGTAACGCGTGTAGAGGTAATCGCGTAGACGAGAAGCCCTCAACAAGCACTAGAGACGTGGCTAGAGAAGTGCAAGTATCAAAAACTAAAGTGTGGCAAACGCTGCGTGAAGAGGGGCTGTATCCGTTTCACGTCCAACGTGTACAAGCCCTTCAACCTGACGATTTTCCAGCAAGAGTGCGGTTTTGTGAGTGGTTGTTGCATCAACATGACAATAATCCGGACTTTTTGAAGTGCATATTGGTGACAGACGAATCTACGTTCACGCGTAATGGGGTGAATAACTTTCGCAACACTCATGTTTGGTCAGTAGAAAATCCGCACGCTGTCCGTCGGGCACATTTTCAACAAACATTTTTCGGTGAATGTTTGGGCTGGCATGGTGAACGGTATGCTCATTGGACCATTTATTCTCCCAAATCGATTGGACGGGATGCAATACCTAGACTTTTTACGCAACATTTTGCCTTCCTTGTTTGTCTGCGTCTGCTCGGTAGCGCATCAGCTGATTTCATTTTCTGTTGGAGCGGTATGATTTCGGGCAGAGACGTACTTAGCCCTTCTCGTCAACTGGAGAGTGAGTACTTTTTCCTTTATTTTTTTTACTTGGTCGCCCTCGTTTCTTTACACATTACCTTTGTTATTTCAAGGGTAGTTGTTTCTGAAAAGGAAAACCCCAACTTTGCGGACACCCTGTATAGGCAATAGTTTTTTAATTTTTTTGTACTGTTTTAAACATGTATTGTCCGTGTTTAACACAATTTTTTTTCAGCTAAATTTGATTGTTTTAAACAAAAAAAAACATGATTTTTGTTTAAAAAATAACGTTTTTTTTTTCAACCCTCTAGACACTTGGGAATTTTTTTTTAATCATTGAGATCTGAGCCATCGAGACGTACGCACTCCTCGAATCTCGACTTCAAGTTCGTGAAAACTCGCTGGCACATCGTTCTTGGGATAGCGGACATCTCAGCCGAAATATTATGCTTGTCGTCGGTTTATTGGCGTAAATGCGGCTCTTGGGGTATCTCCACAAAAAAAATCCAGTGTTTCGAGCAGGCCACGGAATGTCCACCGGTGGCGATATCAGTTTTCCACTAAACATTTTGTTCACAACTGCTAAAGATTCGTTGGGGGTGTGGGATGTCGTGTCATCTTGTTGACAACAGGTCCTGCTATGGTAGGCTTCAAAATTATGCAGTTGTGGAAAGAAAAAGCTACGTAGGATTGCTGCATAGCTATTAGATTTTACTGTTATAGTCTGGCCTTGCTCTTTTTCGAAGAAATAGTTTCCGATGATTCCTTCAGTCAGCTTGGCCGCCCAAACTGTAACATAACGCGAATGCAAAGGCCATTTGTGTTCAAATTTCAAATAAAGCACAATTATCACATAATAAGAAAAAATAGAATATATGGAGCACGATGTCGTTCTAGGTTCTCACTAGAGCTCAATGAATATAAAAACTTCTCATCAATGATATGGAATATACATGAACTAATCCAGAAATTAAGGATAATATCTTAATAATTTGCACAATCACAGTTACCTTTCTTAATTATTTTTATATTCTACTTTTTTAATGTTCGTTTTAGTTAAATGTTTGTCTATTTTTATATTTCAATTCAATTATACTAGCCGACTGTCTCTCATGCGCGGGCCATTTCTTAATAGGACAAGACAAAGTGGACAGGTTTTTTAGCGTCTTAACGTGCAACTTTTTTTAAACGATGTCATTCAATCCTGCATGGAAGAAGCCTATTTTTTTGTAAATACTGATGGAAAAGCAAAATGTTTAATTTGTCACACGGTATTCTAAGTTCTGAAGAGGTAATTATTAATTTGGTCGTAGTTGATTATTATTAATGGTGTCTTAATGCAAGTTATATTGTTGCTGTGAAAATCGCAAAAATTGGGAGACCGTTTACTGACGGTGCACTTGTCAAACAATGCTTCGTGGAGTGTGCAGAAATATTGTGCCCATCTCCTGTAAGCAACTTTGAGACAATTAGTATGTCCGAGCAAACAATACGGATACTTAAACTTGGTGCAGATTTGAAAGAAGAACTGCGGGAAAATGTGCCCATTTTGTGCAGTATTCTATAGCTCTCGATGAAAGTAAAGCCATTTGTGACACAGCATAATTAGCTGTTTTCGTTAGAGGTATCGAAATAGTCTTTACTATCACCGACGAACTACTAGACGTTATCCCGTTCAAAGATACAATGGCCGGAGAAGATATTTTTGATGCTGTAGAATACACAATGAATGACATGGGTATACTACTCAAAAGTTTGAGTAGTGTTGTTGCTGATGGAGCGCCAGCAATGTTATCGGAAGCACAAGGTTTTACTGGGCCAATGAAAATAAAAGTACGCGACGCCGGGTTACCTCCGATATCATCGGTACATTGCATATTACATCAGGAACAACTATGTGCCAAAACCTTCCGTAATTTCAAATCTGTTATGGATGTAGTAATAACATGTGTCAATTTCTGCAGAAAGCAATGTCTCAACCACGGCAGTTTGAAGTATTTTTAAAAGACCTGGAAGCAACTTGCGGTGACATACCCTTTTATTGTGTTACGCGCTGGTTAAGCTGCGCAAAAGTGTTAAAGATTTTTTTTTAAATCATTGATGACGTTGAAATGTTTATGCAAATGAGATTTTTACGACGCCACCTTCAGTGCTTTTCGAAACAGAACCGCCGCAGTTCCAAATGGAGCTGATTAAGCTTCAATGCGATACGATCCTTAAGGAGAGATACTACCACTACAATAGTGATTTAATTTCGTTTTATCAAGGTGTTAAGCAGCAAGTTTTTCCCAAAATTCTTGCACTGGCCTTGGAAACTTGCTCCATGATCGGTAGAACGTAGTTCTGCGAGCAGATGTTTTCTTTAATGAATTTGAACAAAACTAAAAACAGGTCTTTGTCTGATGTGTCCTTAGAGCCGATACTCAGAATTTCCACTGCTCAAGCCACTGTACCAAATATTGGAAAACTTGTTGAATCGAAACGCGGTCAAATATCATCTTAAGCATAAATGTGTTTACGTCGAAATTATGAACATTATTTTATCACCCGCGCGTTGACTCGATCAGACCAATTCAAATGTCAATACGAATTTCACTCCACTCATTTTCCGTTGGGGCTGGGAGCCGGCGAAATTAAACCTTACCGCTGATTCGAGTAAACTTGTAATAATATGTTTTCTAAATTTTGTAACTTGCATCCCTTTAGACAAAGCAGCCTAAAATACTTCCTGATATACCGTTTGCCTAACAAAATATCCTTATAGGGATCAACCCTCGTATTTGGGAGGAAGCTTTAAGTATTAGTAAACTATCGTCTTATTTCAGGACAAATTGAATCGGACCAAGGTGATAGACATCCTGGTCAATCATGCGAAATCCAGGCCACAACTACAATTTGTATTTTTAACTCCGCAAGATGTGTCGTTTATCAGCAAGGATGTATCCATTCTAAGGTAACGTATTCCTCGAAGCACAATAAAGCGCCAAAATATTATAACGAAAACACAGGTTTGCACTGTTCAAAGTCTAATTTATTACTTTTTATACTAATTTATAACAAATAAGATTCGTATTGACGTATGTTCTAAATGTTTTGGCACAAAATATTTATCGGATTTTTTTTAAGGTGAAATAGGGTGTTTCAGTTTATTGTTGCATAACTTTAAGATTCGATAGAACCTTTAAAATTAATGCATAAAGTCTATATAAAATGGGTCGAAAAATGCGTGGCTTCCGAAATACAGGGTGTTTAAATTTACTTTCTAAAATAGTTTTTTTTTTAAATATTTCGAACAATATTTGATGTATAACAGTGAAAATTGTTATACAAGGGTTTTTTGGTACGACAAAACGAACCATGGGCATAGTTTTACTGTAGCCGCTAGAGGGCGCTCTCTACTGTACCTGTAGTGTATTAAAATGACCGAAAAAATTTTCTTAGTGCAATTTTTTGCTTTTTGAATAAAAAAACTGATTCTTCGCACTTTTCAACATAAAAAGCTCTCTTGTGAATTTTCGTTATAGTTAGCCGTTTTTGAGACATTTCGATTTTTAAGGTTCGATGCATTTTTAATTATTTATGATAAAATAACGTTAAAAAGTCAGTATCTCGATAATTTTTAGACGTAGGCTGTGCCTGCAAATATTTTTGGAATTGAAAGCAGAATAAGGTTAAACGTCAATTACAGTTGACAGTTTTGTTGTCTGTTGAAACCTGAAACGTTTTTTTTGCAATTGTGAATGCACGAAATTTAGTTTCTTTTACCTGATTTATTTTGTAAGTTTTATAAAAATGCCATTGTTATTCTCCAATCAAGAGTTAGCGGATATTCATTTTGTGTATGGCTTTGTAAATGGAAACGCAGCAGAAGCAGCCAGAGAATACGCACGAAGATTTCCAAACAGACGACATCCAACTCGCCCAGTATTTGTAAGAGTGCATCGCCAAATAATTGAAAATGGTTTTGGAAATTTCCAAAGAGATCAAAACATAAATGTTCGTCAGCCCAGATTTACCCGTATGATTCTGCGTGAGTTTGATAGAGATCCGACCACAAGTGTTAGGAGAGTTTCTGGTGCCTCGGGAATTTCAGCAAGCCATGTTCACCGTGTTCTTAGAAATGACCATAGACGTCCTTACCATTTGCAACCTGTGCAAGGACTACAGCCAGGGGACGGAGAACGAAGAATCACATTTTGTCAGTGGATTCTTGATAGAACTGATAATAATAGGGAGTTTTTAAGTAACGTTTTATGGACCGATGAGACATGCTTCACTAGACGTGGAGTGGTAAATTTTCATAATCAACATATTTGGTCGCATGAAAATCCGCATGCAGTTCGGGAAAGAAATTTTCAGCATGAATTTGTGTGTGTAATCGTAATCGACTATTTGGACCCTACCTTTTGCCTGCAAGGTTAAATGGTGCGACCTTCCTGGAATTTTTAAAGGCTGAACATGCAAATATGTGGGATGATGTTATGTTAGATTTAAGAAGATTGGGTTCCAACACACACAGATGTGTATTAATCTTCGTGGAGAATACTTCGAAAAACAATAAAGTCATTTAAAACTACCTACCGTGTTGTTTTATTTCCATATGCAAAACTTAAACGACATCCCTCGTAAAGCGAACACTTCAAAATAAATAAATGTCAACTTGATATTATTTTGTGTTTGTTAAAATTAAAGCCGATGAATTTTTTTCCAAAACTTTTAGGACAGTTATGTTAGACCAATTATGGAATTCGCTGGACGTGTTTGGTATCCAACGCTACAACGTGACAGATACGAGGGTGGTCCCAGAAGTACGCGACCCAACGAAGAAAACAAACATTTCGTAAAAAAGTGTATTTATTTTTCAACATAATCTCCTTTGAGCTCTATACACTTTTCCCACCATTTCTGGAGTCGTCACCTCATTTGGTCGACCACTGCGATGCTCGTCTTGGCCGCTCATACGGCCTCGTTTAAACTCTGCTACCCAATATTTTACTGTTGTAAACGAAGCAGCAGACTCACCCAGAGTAGAATCCAGATCAGCTTTTATATTGGTTAGGCTGAGGCCTTTGAAATAAAAGTATTGTACCACATAACGTTGACCAATTTTCTCCATTTTCACAAATTCACTGAAAACGTTCAGTATTGATGGCTGCCAAACCTGACACATGCTTTATAGGTTGCATACTTTCGAATACAATGATATTTTTCAAAGAACTATCGCCATCTCTAGGTCAGGCCGGTACTTCTGGAACCGCTCTCGTACCTGTTGTTACGAGGAGAAACTGATCCTATTCAATTTAGCTGACTTCTACGCTTACGTGGGGACTTGATAACCACTTACAGGGCTTTACATGATATCTTCGACAGTAACAGATCCTCACTTTTCTGTCTCAACACCAACCACCTGCGAGGCCACAACTGTAGGGTGTCAATAAGAGAGATTTGATTTTCAAGAAAAACACAGTTTCTTTTAATTTAACGAGTATTTATGCGGCAGGTCGCACGGTCTTAGAAGAACATATCGGCAGTTCTGCTTATCGACGTAACCGTTCAGTTGAGAATTTGCCTCACCAGAGAAGATGATTTTCTTCGAGAAATCCGCATCAATTTGGTGGTGCTCCAACGCCCAATCAACGAATTCACGGCGCTGCGTTCTTGCTTGCTTGCAAGCGAGATCTTTTATCACAATTCGGTGCAGAGTAGGTCTGGTAAGGTCTGATTCTTGCCCACGATGCCCAATGGAACTGCCTGGATTATCAGCCACACTTTCCCGCAATGCGACTGTATTTTCGATTGACCGACCAGGACGGCGACGAACAGTGGTCTTCACATTCAGCAACGTGAATCTTGTCTCAAACTTTGTAATTAAATGGCGAACTGTCGACTTATTTGGCGCATTATTGCGACCAAAAATTGTACTTAATTTGGGAAGTGGTTTCGCGTAATTTTAACCATTTTCGTAGTGAGTTTTCACAATAATTAAACGTTGCTCGTTTGAATACTGCTCGATGACGTCTAATCGCGTGGTCTGGACATGACAGCTGTCATCAAGTAAACACCATACCATTTGTACAAAAAAAATGGCGGCAAATTCAAATCCGGCGCTCGTGTTTAGATACGATGAACTCTAGTGTTCCTATGACATTATCTTTATTATATATACTAAGTGACATATAAATCCGAACACCCAGTTTAAATGGTTTTATTTTAATAAAAGTTGGTGAGTGTATTTATCTTACTGTAAATAACAAATGAAAAAATTTTCAGCCTTATCAGTTGTGTAAATTCCGGTTTTTATACTGTTTTTTTTTAATTCACTAACGCTCTAAAAATGAATATTTCAGCCGCAGTAAAGAATCAACGTTGGCGGATTTTGGTTCTTGACATCCTTTACGATCGGTTACGATTCCTAGAGTACGGATACCTGTACGATTTCGTCAACTTAGTGAGTTTGATAGGGGCCGTATAGTGGGACTTCGGGAAGCTGGACTTTCTTTTCGGGCAATTGCAGTTAGAGTGCAAAGAAGTGTAGACACTGTGGTTAGGTGTTGTCAGGCATGGCTTCGAGAAGGCCGTACGCAAAGAGCAAGGGGCACTGGACGCCGCTGTAGAACAACAGACCGTGAAGATCGCCGCCTAAGATTATTGGCCTTAAGGGACCGTTTCTCCACTACCAGGTCCATTGCAAATGAATGGTTTGCAGAACACGGAAGACCTATTGGCATGCGAAGTGTTTACCGACGAATGAGAAGTTTTGGCTTGTTTTCATACCGGCCACACTGGGTCCTCCCTTTAACTCGAGAACACCGACGTAATGGCCTTGAGTGGTGCAGACAACGATCACTCTGGGATCAGGAATGGAACAGTATTGTCTTTAGTGACGAGTCTCGATTTTGCTTAGGCATGCACGATGGTCGTGCCAGGGTTAGAAGGCGACGTGGTGAAAGGAGGAATCCACAGTTTTTTGTTGAAAGACATGTTCATCACACTGTTGGAGTTATGGTTTGGGGTGCTATAGCTTATGATTCCAGGTCACCTTTAATCTTCATCAGAGGTAACATGAACGCGCAGCGTTATATCCACGAAGTTATAGAACCCCATCTTTTACCCTATCTTGACACCCTGGCAGATCCAACTTTCCAACAAGATAATGCCCGACCACATGTTGCAAGAGTCACAATAGACTTCTTTCAACATAACGATGTCACATTGTTACCATGGCCACCAAGATCTCCCGACTTATCCCCAATTGAGCACGTGTGGGATATGATGGGTAGGAGATTGCTCAATTTGCAACGTCCTCCTCAGACTCTAGAAGCACTTCGAGAGGAGTTGGTGGTTGCCTGGAATGAGATACCACAGGAGGACGTTGACCACTTGATCAGAAGCATGCCTAGGCGCGTTGGAGAATGCGTAGCACATCAGGGTGCATCCACACATTATTAAAGGTCAAAGAAATTTTTATCATTTACTTATTATGCTTCATTAAGTACTTATACAAAATTTTATTAAAATAAAACCATTTAAACTGGGTGTTCGGATTTATATGTTATTTTTTATGTTCAATCTTTGGAATCTATAGCTTTTGCTCAACTGCTCTATTATGAATAATAATAATGATCTTTATGTCGTTTTTCTGTACAATATTTTTATTTGCAGGCTTGCCGACCCAGAGAGAATCCAAGCAGAATGAACATATTTCCAATTACTGCGTATGTTTCAGACTTCGCAGTGTGATAGTTTACGCCCTTTTCTATGTATATTTTATAAGTACCTTATTTTTTTATTTGTAAGGACTCCAAAGAATATATTTGTTACATCCATATGAATTATAAAAAATAGTTTTATAAATGTTCGCATACTTATCCTTTAAGCAAATTGCTCAGGAAACGTTTGCTGTTAAAAGTTGTACCAGTGTTTCGTTCATTAAATTATTTTGTATTATGTTTTGTGTCTTACGTACATCCTAAAATCCATGTGCTACACATTTGCTGAACTCTGGATAAAGAAATTACACCAATTTTGTGTCCTACTGGTTATACCACTCAAAGTGGTTTGCTCTTGGTTTCTACGAAAAATAACCGAAGGTACCTAGAACTCCCCAAAAGAAATTACGCAAAATTACAAGCTCTACGAGGGTGGCCTGAATAGTTTCCGACTTCAACGTGAAGATGGCAGCGCTCTTAAAGAAAAGCTAGTGAATTTCGTTGTCCATCTGTTAACATTTACTCACCAAGGTTTCAGCTATTTTGGAAGCGCAGTTGTTATGTTTGAGTGAGTTGACGTGAACATGGACAAAATCGAGTATCGAGCTGTCATTAAATAGTTGTTTTCGAAAGACAATGAAATCAAGGATGAGCTGGACTCTCTGTATGAGACTCTTTACCACAGTGAAATTTTGGACAGCTGAATTTCGAATATCGTAGCGCATTTGTTCAATTAGTCTCAAATACGAAATGTCTGAATTTGTTTTTCACATAAAAATCACATTTAGCTTTTGGAAGGGTTTGTGATTCATATCGGCAAGGTAAACAGGTTTATTTTGCTATTAAATGCTCTTTGAACTGACCCTGTATATTGCTCAATAAACTAGTAGTGATGGCCGGAAAACAGGTGCTTTCCACGCTCGTAATCTCCCAATTTATTCGTGAATTTTTTATTGTGAAGAAATAAACAATTTTTATGTTCACACACTCCAATTTCAAGATTAAAACTTTATTCAAATCATTGGACCATTACTGTAAATCAGATAAATATTTTTTAGCGAATAGGAAAAATAATGAACTATTTGAAAGTGCATTGTTGCCATATTTAAGGTAAAAATCAGTACAACTTGGAATTATTTAAAAAAAATCGCGATCTCCAAAAATCAGGTTAATTTTTAAAAAAAAAATCGTGATTTTTGCGATACTGATTACAAATTCGATAACCAAAACTTGAAAAACGAATATTCGGGCAAGTTAAAGTTGACTTCCAAGTCACATAACTTTAAAGTTGTTCTTGAAAAACTACCCCTAAACCAGTAGATTGAGCGACCCAAAGTAATCAATGACAAATAGCATCAAAAAATGAGTCCAATGATGAACAATCATATGTTTTATTTACAATATACAACAAACACACAGATATATTGCAACTATTTTGTTATAGATTCATATTTCAAACGAAAAATGTGCTAAAAAATACACCTATAAAAAAGGCGAATGGAATGAACAGCTAGACATGCTATATAAGTATTATCTTCCTTTTTAAGGATCAATACTGACACTGATAAAAAGCACCAAGTACTTTAGATGCGGTAATTTTTGTGGATTTCTGGCTTGATGTCGTACACCAAGTTAAGTATCTCTTGAATAACCTGCAACAAAAGACATTATTAGATTTTTAAAACAGTAAAAAATAATATGACATCGTGTCCTACATAGAGCTATCGATTATGCCAAAAGTTCATGTTAGAGCCGTTTTACACACAAGAGAATTACTCCGAAAATTATGGTATAATTATGCCGAAAATTTGCATGAAAAAATATTGAATATTTTCTCTACAACCTGTATAACACAAGCAAACAAAATTTCGGAGTAATTCATACCATACGCCTGCGCATTAGAGTAATATTTTCGAATGGACATAACCTTAACGGGTATGACGTCCAATATAATCGGAAAGACAACAGACGTCGTTGATTTAAATTTATTTTTGAAATCGAGATCTTGGTTAATATTATAAATCTTCTCAATGCTTGGACTGTCGCATCCAGCGCCTTACGCCGCAAATTGGGTGACTTCACCTTGTACAGGTTTGGCCATTTTTGGTACTCCTCCAACAACAGTGTCACTTCTTCCGATTCCACGACATTATGAATAAACAATAACAATAAACGCTTCTTCGTACGACTCGAACAGGACCACACCCACAAATGTTAAGTGAGGTTATGTTGTTGACATTGACATTTGATATTGACATGCACGGAAATAACCCTCTGCGCCGATTCTGGCGCATATTCTATAGAACGGGTTTTATATTTTTACTATGAAAATTTTTACAATAACTCTTTTACGTGTAATACGACAGCAAAAATTTTCGGCATAATTATGACCATAATTTTTGGGAGTAATTCTCTTGTGTAAAACGGCTCTTAGACAATTATGAAAACTTGAAATTGCGGTAGGTGTGTCGGCTAAAAAAACTAATTGAACTTCGGATAAAATATTTTCAAAATGGTGACATTTCCGGTTGTACTGGAAGTATATGCCAACTTGCTTATTTTAAATGGAAACACCCTTTGAATACATCTCATGTGTAACGTATACCTAAACTCTAACCGTTTTTGAGAAATAGCAAATGTTGTGTAAAAAATCACAAGGTCGATAAAAAGCCATGAATTTTTCATAAAGGCTTTGTCAAATGATTTGTAACTGCTCCCTTATAGAAGGATGGACCTCGTTCAATATTTTGCTCATAAAAAAAAATCGGACAAAAAGGTAATTGTAAAAATGCCAAAAGTTATATTTATTTATTTAAAAACTTGAGATGAATGAGCTTCATTATTGTTCAAAAATGTTCAATCAGGAAGAATTGTTTTTAAATATTTAGTTCACTGTATGAACAGCTAAATAAAAGCTTGTTTTTAAATATGTATTTTTTATGCTTTATTCATTTTTAATTTTTTGTACAGGGTGTAAAGTATGTACCATAAATTTAACAGACAATTCTTTGAGTAATTTTGAAACAAAAAGTTCATTAAATCCGTTGTTCACAAGATAAAATTAAAAAAAGAAATTATTCGTAAATATCTTAAATATCCTTTACCTAATTTTGTTGTAATTAGATGGTGGTATTTATAACAAGAAAAATGTGTAATTAATTGCAAATACCTGGACCACACAAGGAATATGGGGAAAAGTTTATTTTGGAAATTCTAATGTTTTTATAATTTAGTGAAATTTGCTAGTCTAGATGTTAATTTTATTTAGAATTTGTTCTTAATAAAAAAAATTCGAACAGAAACATTTCACCATATTGCTTGTGTGGTCCAAGGATAAGCAATGAAGTCAAAAACTGAGCAAGATATACAAAAAAAAATTCAAGAGACAAAAAAGTCGTATTTCCATTTGCTTAATACAAAGAACACAATAAAAATTGCACAAAAGACAGTCGCGTACATTTTTTGTCACTAACATTCGTCCAGATCCCACTCGAGGTGCCACTGAACTTTTACTAACAGGACTCCATAAAACTTACTTTATTTGTATTAAAAAAATTCAATAGTGATAAATCATGGGAGATTATACAAATCAGTGATACCATTTAAACTATAATACAGGGTGTTCAAAAAATAGATGGAGATGTTTTAGAGGGTGATTCCCAATTAACAACTATGAAGAAAAGTGTCTATAAACGTGGGTCCGGAAATGCAGAATTTTTAAGGTACAGGGTGATAAAATGAATTTTTTTATATTGATATCATAAAAAATATTTTCTCAATTCTGTTGAAATTTTGCAATATTCTTTGTTGTATAAGAGGCTAACAGTTACTATAAGACTATAAACACGTGCATACATTACATGCGAAAATTAGTAAAACAAAATGGTTTTTTTCCTCTAAAACAAAGTGAAATGCAGTAATGCACAAAAGTATATAGACAAATTAGTATTGTGCTGTATTTCTTTTTTAACTTGTTTTATTAATACACCAATCTGTATACATAATTCATTATAGCATAATACTCACTTATACATAAATAAATTCATTAGACTCCCTTCAATAAAAATTAATTGAAAAAAACTGGAACTATGAAGGACAAAAATATATAGACAAAGCAAAACAATTATATACTAAGTAACATATAAATCCGAATGCCCAGTTTAAATGGTTTTATTTTAATAAAATTTTGTATAAGTACTTAATGAAGCATAATAAGTAAATGATAAAAATTTCAAAATGATTGCACTGCTTTAAAGCCCTTTGACCTTTAATAATGTGTGGATGCACCCTGATGTGCTACGCATTCTCCTACGCGCCTAGGCATGCTTCTGATCAGGTGGTCAATGTCCTCCTGTGGTATCTCATTCCAGGCAACCACCAACTCCTCTCCAAGTGCTTCTAGAGTCTGAGGAGGACATTACAAATTGAGCAATCTCCTACCCATCATATCCCACACGTGCTCAATTGGCGATAAGTCGGGAGATCTTGGTGGCCATGGTAACAATGTGACATCATTATGTTGAAAGAAGTCTATTGTGACTCTTGCAACATGTGGTCGGGCATTATCTTGTTGGAAAGTTGGATCTGCCAGGGTGTCAAGATAGGGTTCTAGAACTTCGTGGATATAACGCTGCGCGTTCATGTCACCTCTGATGAAGATTAAAGGTGACCTGGAACCATAAGCTATAGCACCCCAAACCATAACTCCAACAGTGTGATGAACATGTCTTTCAACAAAAAACTGTGGATTCCTCCTTTCACCACGTCGCCTTCTAACCCTGGCACGACCATCGTGCATGCCTAAACAAAATCGAGACTCGTCACTAAAGACAATACTGTTCCATTCCTGATCCCAGAGTGACCGTTGTCTGGACCACTCAAGGCGATTACGTCGGTGTTCTCGAGTTAAAGGGAGGACCCAGTGTGGCCGGTATGAAAACAAGCCAAAACTTCTCATTCGTCGGTAAACACTTCGCATGCCAATAGGTCTTCCGTGTTCTGCAAACCATTCATTTACAATGGACCTGGTAGTGGAGAAACGGTCCCTTAAGGCCAATAATCTTAGGCGGCGATCTTCACGGTCTGTTGTTCTACGGCGGCGTCCAGTGCCCCTTGCTCTTTGCGTACGACCTTCTCGAAGCCATGCCTGACAACACCTAACCACAGTGTCTACACTTCTTTGCACTCTAACTGCAATTGCCCGAAAAGAAAGTCCAGCTTCCCGAAGTCCCACTATACGGCCCCTATCAAACTCACTAAGTTGACGAAATTGTACAAGGTCTCCGTACTCTAGGTATCGTAACCGATCGTAAAGGATATCAAGAACCAAAATCCGCTAATGTTGATTCTTTACTGCGGCTGAAATATTCATTTTTAGAGCGTTAGTGAATTAAAAAAAAGCGGTATAAAAACCGGAATGTCCAACTGATAAGGCTGAAAATTTTTTCACTTGTTATTTACAGTAAGATAAATACATTCACCATCTTTTATTAAAATAAAACCATTTAAACTGGGTGTTCGGATTTATATGTCACTTAGTATAGAAAAAAGAAGCAAAGTTCATTGAATTATAGAAAACCAATCATGTTTGCGTTAATATTTTGTAGTATAACCATTATTATCAATCACTACCTGGCATCGTATCAGCATAGATTGTAGAAGTTTCTTGAGTTTATATCGGGAGACTGTGAAGGCCATTTGAGAACTGGTATTTTTTCATACAGAAAATTTATTTGTGAGTTTTGAAGTGTGCTTTGGGTCATTATCTTGCTGGAAGATTGATCTTAAGGGCATATTGTCTTCCATATAGGATAACATGACATGCTTTAGTATGTCTGTGTATACAAACTTATCCATAATGCCATCTATTATATGTAAAGGTCCCATCCCAAACCCCGAAAAGCACCCCCAAACCATATCAGACACGCATCCATGTTTGACAGTGGGCAAAGTGTACTTGGGGTTCAATCTTTGTCCACTAGGACGTCTAACGTAATGAACACCATCTGATTCAAACATATTACTTTAAGGAAAATGGCATCTACCCACCGATTGGCTATCCACAAGAGTCTTTAGAAGCTTTCGATTTTCAAAGTCTTAGGGAGAGGCGTGATAAGTGCAGTGTTAAGTTCATGACTGATATATTGCACAATCGTATTGATTGTTGCAATATATTGCATGATTTTAATTTCCTTGTCCCGCGTTTGAATGCTAGACAATGCAATACCTTGTATTTGCCTACCCCTAGAACAAATATTTTAAAGTTTTCTCCATTGTATAGCTCATGTGGTAAAGCGAATGACATTCCGGATCGATTAGATATATTTCTCTGAGGTCTTATCTGCTGCGTGGTTCCTTATGATGTCTTGACTGCTATTTGCTATTTAATTTTTTATCTACACTGCCATTTTTGTAAATATTTGTATATAGTATCCTTGTGATTGAACTTCCTACATTTGTGTGTAATATGTAAGATATTGTGTATTTTTGATATTTGGACTTTATCCTACTCTGTAATTGGCTTTGTAGCTGTTGGGTAGAGTATAAATAAATAAATAAATAAATATTGAACTTGGATTCGTTACTGAAACATACCCTCTTCCAGTCACAGATGCAACCGTGCAAATTGTAATCGGTCCTTACTGTTTTTCCTCGAAATTAGCGGTTTCTCACTCGGGCGACGTGCAAATAACTTCAAATCATTAATCTTCTACTTATAGTTTTCGTAGAAACACTGACAATTCCTTTTGTCTCGATTTCTGCTTTTATTTGTCTTGGGGTTTTAAACGGATCTTTGGACAAAATTACTTTTATTAATCTAACTAATAGAGCATTTAGTTTTATAGACTGACCACTTCTCTTAGACGCTTCCAAGATACCTTTTTGTTTATATTTGTTCAATATTGTCCAAACTGCTTTACGTTTCAGCTTCAAATTTTTGACAATGTCGAGTTGACGTTGACCATCTTTGGTCTTAAAATCACTCAACTTATTCCACAATACTTGATGAACACAAACTAATCCTCTTCTGACACAAAACTGTACTAAACTAATGTTGAAAAGAATTTGTCTACATATTTTTGTCCCTCATAAAAAAGTGCTTATAATCAGACTTGGTATTGTGTTCATTGCATATAATGTAAAAACAAGGAATTCAGTTTTTCTACTAATAACGCATTTGTTTATGGAGCAATGAAGTATGAATTCATTTTCTAAAGGTATTTAGGTGAATATTCATATTTGTCTATATACTTTTGTCCATTAATGTAAGAAAAAATTCAAGAGGCAAAGAAGTTGTATTTTCAGATGCTTAATCAAACAATCAGTGATGTAGGACACATGGATTTATTTGACATCAAATTCCTGTTTCATACTATTGAAATTTGGCCATGAACTCAATTTATGAATGGATTTATTATCAATGTAAAATGGATATAATTTTATTGTGATAAAAGTGCTTTCAACGTTATACTAATGAAAGAGTGTTTTTGACAAAGGGCTATTATAAAAATCATATTATTAATATGTCATCAACAAGAATACCACACCTAATCATGTGATAGTTTGCAGATTGATCAAAGATGAAAAAATGGACTACACAATTATAATGTTTTTGACTTACAGGTTCTTTCTGTGCCTGAATTGCTTTGTTCATTTCCTCTATTCTTCGTTTGGTGTCAGCTTCAATCTTTGCAGCTACATCCTCACGAGAGCCCATGTGTTTTGCCTCAAATTCGCGAAACTGTCGCTCACGTTCTTTACGATACTTCTCAATTTCTTCCTGCGCTTCCTCTTTGGCCTGCTTTAGCCTTCTTGCTTTGCCTTTGTAAAAACAAGTAGAAAAATCAACACGGCCGAATTTTTATTTCAGTGTAAATATACCAACATTCTGGTAAATGTAAATGAGCTTGAGGAAAGTTCTGTGACAGGAGGTCTGAGGAAATAAGAAATTTGATACGTGTATTTTGATTTGAATGAGAAATCTGGAAAACAAAGTACGATCTCGTGATCACTAGATCCACCCTTCACGGGAATGTCGAAAAATTTAGCAAAAATTCACTTACGTTTTCGTGCTTCTGCTACTTTTTCTGCAGCACGTTTCTCTGCTGCTAATAATTGTTGAATACCTTGCGATTGGCTAGCCATTTTCACTTATTTTATGGAAAAATCAAGTAAGTATCGACCAGACAGCACCCGTCCTACAAAATCTGTATGCAAGCAGTCATATGACACAAAGTGACGTGACGTATCATATGGTTGACCTTGCGATGTTGCCGATACAAAATTACCTCCGAAGCTGTACTACTTTGAGTAATGCCGAGGGCAGTGTTGCCAGGTGGAGCCAACGATATTTCGGTAGAATTGTGTGGATTTTTTCTGTAGATTAATACCGGAGAGTAAATGAAACCTAAACCTAAACTTGAAACGATTTTATTTAACTCAAAATATACTCTAAAACAGAAAGACAAAACAAAATAAACAGTTTATATCTCACTTCAGCTAACTAAAAATAAAATATTCTTAATAAAAAACAGAAAATGTATGAAATAAAAAATGTGTAAGCTATATTGGATAATCAGTCTACCGGTTCACTTTTGTATGAGTTTTTATCAGTCATGTTATCTACTAATTTTGCTTTGCCAAATGGTCCATCGGCAGGAATGGCTAATAATTGTGCTCGGCCACAAATGCGCCCAAACGAATTTCTCCTGGAAATAATAAATTAATCTATATAATCTTCTCAAATGAATTAATTAATTTCACCTTCTTTAATATCATTTTCTTATTTCTTTGATGCATCTGCAACTGCAAATGACTACAGTTTTTGGCTGTTTTTGCACTTTATTATGAAATTTCTCATTCGCGGGTTTCATAAGTGCATCTCTTCCACTTGTGATATTAATATCTTTATCACAGACCATGCATTTCGCATAATCGCACCCTTTATTGTTTATTTTAAGGCAGCCTGGGAATCTGGCAATCCTTCTCAGTCTGCCTTATAATGTTGGGCATACTTCATTTGTTTCTGGCTGCTACGCCGCTGCTACTAGCCTTACCACTACTATCACTATTAGCTATTTCTTGATTCAATATTGTAAACGCACGCGAAAAAAAAATGTACCGCAACACAGGTAATACTAATACTGACCGAATTCGGAATACTGAGTACACAAAAACATACAAATAGTATAATACAGGCATGGACTTGTCACGAGCCGCTAGGCCTAGGCGGTGATTCTGTAGATGCGAAGAATCAGCGTGTGTGGCACACCAATGTCAAGCAAAGAGAATAAAAATACAGGGTGTCCGCAAAGTTGGGGTTTTCCTTTACACGACGTGTAGATCTTGAAAACATAAGCAGTTTTTCTTAGTACCATATACACCAATGTCTTAAGGAAACGAGATAAAGGGCTCTGCAACATCAAAAATATCTGAATACCGTCCTGTAGCCGCGACCCGCGACATCACCGACTGGTACGAGGTCACTGGCTCAACCCGACGACAGAACTGAGTCGGGGTCAGTGTGTCAGGTCAGTATGCAACCTTCAACCGACGGTTACGGTCACGCGTGTAGAGGTAATCGCGTAGACGAGAATCCCTCAACAAGCACTAGAGACGTGGCTAGAGAAGTGCAAGTATCAAAAACTAAAGTGTGGCAAACGCTGCGTGAAGAGGGGCTGTATCCGTTTCACGTCCAACGTGTACACGCCCTTCAGCCTGACGATTTTCCAGCAAGAATGCGGTTTTGTGAGTGGTTGTTGCATCAACATGACAATAATCCGGACTTTTTGAAGTGCCTATTGGTGACAGACGAATCTACGTTCACGCGTAATGGGGTGAATAACTTTCGCAACACTCATGTTTGGTCAGTAGAAAATCCGCACGCTGTCCGTCGGGCACATTTTCAACAAACATTTTCGGTGAATGTTTGTGCTGGCATGTTGAACGGTATGCTCATTGGCCCATTTATTCTCCCAAATCGATTGGACGGGATGCAATACCTAGACTTTTTACGCAACATTTTGTCTTCCTTGTTAGAATATGTGCCATTAAGTGTAAGACAATCAATGTGGTTTCTGCACGATGGTGCATCGCCCCATTTTAGACGCGAAGTGCGTGAGTTTTTGAATGAATTATTTCCGAATAGGTGGATCGGACGTAATGGACCCTTAGCGTGACCTCCGCGATCGCCAGACCTAACACCATGTGTTTTTTTTCTTTGAGGAGAAATGAAACGCTTAGTGTACACAACTGAAGTGCATACGGTTGTCGAAGTTCGTCTCAGAATTGAACAAGCTGGTGCTTTCATTCGGGGGAGGGACACCATTCTCGAAGCCTGCACCGATGCTTGGCTACGTCGTGCACGCACCTGTGTTTTTGAATCAAACGGCGATAACTTCGAACAATACCTATAAAGTACGTTTACCTAAAAACTGAAAACGCGGCAACGCCGTCATATTTGTTACCTCTGTTCGTGGTCTGATTTCGGGCAGAGACGTACTTAGCCCTTCTCGTCAACTGGCGAGTGAGTACTTTTTCCTTTATTTTTTTTACGTGGTCGCCCTCGTTTCACTACACATTACCTTTGTTATTTCAAGGGTAGTTGATTCTAAAAAGAAAAACCCCAACTTTGCGGACACCCTGTATATCTGGTCTAGTACGAATAATAATAGTACTTTTATCGCTGTGCATCAGAAATATTTCTCCGATGTAGGGAACAAAAATCATTCAATTGAAAGAAAGTCCACTTTTCGATAGATTTTGATTTAAAATCGGTAATTCGGTATACCAGGCCCAAAATCGGTAGATCTACCGAAAAATCGGTAGATCTGGTAACACTGGCCGAGGGTCACTTCTACTTTGTGTTGCCAAGTCTCGTGAAATTTCTCCAGATCGGGTGATCTTATGAAAAACCTCGTGATTGGTGAAAAACTTCAAAATGTCAATTTCTGATGCTTGTTAAAATTTCTTCGATTTTAAATATTCTTAACAATCTTTGAGCTACCAAAAACTCTAACAATTACTAAATGTCCGAACCGGTACCGCGAGCATACTGATACTCGATACTAGTGTTTTAAAGGCCAAACGATGCCAAATATATTTGCATGAGCTCATTATTTTCCATCGTACACATGCATGTATCTATGTACAAGTCATGCGACAATTATTTCTATTGTAAAGCACTATTGCCAACCGATAAGTTGGATCTCCAGCCATTTGCTTTTGACGAAATGACTGGCAAATTTGTCAGCACTGAACCTGCCACTGATCGTCATTTTTGGTTGTTATCGAAGAATACAACACTAGTGGGACAGCATCGAGCCAGTGTTGCGATTTACACTGATTCACACTTCCCAATGAAAGTTGTGTTGTATAGTATATTTAGGATATCGGAGCGGTGAGTGTAAATTGAGATCCACATGCTTAAAATTATTTTCTCTGAATTTTATTCATAAGCAATCTCGGCAACATCGCTGATGAATGTCAGCATTGTCATATCATACTTTCTGTGGAAAACACAGAGTCGTATTCAGCGATATATGGAAGTTTCCGACAGGACAGTATTGAAGAATTTTGTTTCTAGGTCAGTCAGACGATCCATTTTCAATTAGAAAAAATATCGTGGATGTCTAGAGCGGCGACTCGATGGGTCTTATAAATAAAGGCGTAATTCACGAAATGTTTGTCGATTGTTAGCGCTGGGTGCAAAAATCAACTTACCTTTGAAAGGTCCTTCAAGGTGAATATCAACGTCAGATCCAAGATGCGCCATTTGATTTCCTGAAATTTTTGCATTTAAAGTTTTTTTTTCAAGCACCATTAGTTTCTGAGATATTTTACCCTATATTTCATGTCATGTATGACAAAACCTTTTAAATTTTGGTATTATTCTATTTTGCCCATGATTTGAGTTTACCCATAACTGCTTTAATCCTGTCGATTTGGTCCGTATTCACATCCTCGAGCAGATCATTACGGCGGGAGCTGAGCCCAGATCGCCGAAGGAGCTATGACTTAAGCTATTGCTCATGCAATGGTTCAAGCTGTGTTCAAGCTCTGGCTCGAGCTGTGGCACAAGGTATCCCTCAGCCTATGCTCAATCTATGGATCAAGCTGTGCTTGAGCTAAGGTTCAAAATATGCTCAAGCTATGGCTAAAGCTATGCACAAGATATGGCCCAAGCTATGCTCACGCAATGCTCAAACTATGGCTCAAGGTATGCTCGGGCAGTGTTCAAGCTATGATTCGAGCTATGCTCAAGCTATAGCTCTAGCTATGCGCAAGCTATGGCCCAAGCTTTGCTCAAATTATACATCTAACTATGCTCAAGCAATGCTCCAAGCTATGCTCAAGCTACGCTCTTGATGTGGATCAAGCTATGCTCAATGTGGTTTAAGTTATGCTCAATCCATCGCTCATGCTATGGCTCATGCTATGGCTCAAGCTGTGCTCTAGCGATAGCTCAAGCTATGCTAGAGCTATGGCTCAGATATGCTCGGGCTATGGCTCAAACTTTGCTCGATCTATGCTCAAGCTACGCTCAGCCAATGCTCAAGCTATGCACAAGCTGTGGCTCGATATCCTTTTAGTTACTCATGAATGGTAAAAGGTGTAGGGGATTAAATAGTACATTACAAATCTTGGTGTAGAAGTGTGTCTTTATTTGACAAACATATGTTTGCTTTTTCCATAAGCATAACAGGATGTAAGGATAAGTGAGCCTCGGGTAATTAAAATTGCGTAATGAAATTATTAATGTTTTATTGTAATTGCTATACATTATTAACCATTAAAAGATATATAAGTAAATATACAATATACAACAATTGAGAGTATTAGTAAAATTAGTCTATCAGGTTACAAATTTTCAACAAACTGTATAAAATGTCAACATTATTACTATATAAAAACAACTTATCAAATAAAAGTTTATAAACCTTATCACCCATTCTGATTAATAAATAGAAAGAAACAATAAATACATGAGCACAATGCTGGAATTCTGAATTAATACTACAACATAATTGTCCTAGTACAATGACTGCTGCAGCGCTGCTATAACACCTCTATATGGAGAAAAATAAAATTGAATGGAAAATGCAAGCGTTATTAGAGAGTTTTTAACGCTCTTATTTTGCTGCTTCGTTAAGATCTTCGTGATTTCGATTTTGCTCTGTAGCAAGGTTTATCACAATTTTAATCTTGGCATTTTGCTCAATATCTGTTGCCGTATTTTCCTCCGTATAGGAGTGCAATACCTGCGCGACAGCCACCATTATATAGGGCCAATAACATACATAATACGATTTAGCGTTAACTTTCTTTTTCATTTATATTGAATAAACTATAACGATTGCAAAAATATCTCATTACAGCTGTTTTCAGTTCTTAGGTATAGTCGTTTTAAAAATACGGATGTTATCATTAATGGACAGAAACATCATACCTTTTTGTCTGAGATTTAGGTAAGAGGCACAACCCATAATTGAAAAGTTATTGATACGAAGGTACATACAGACAATGTAAAACTAACAACAAAAATTAACTAATACGAGATATTTTGTTTTTACTCCTGTATTTGCATTCATATATAAAGCGTGTTGTTAAATGTCACGTCGCTTTTCCTGTTCAATAACACTATTATAAATAGAAACTTTAATTATCAACTTGGCAAGAAAATGTTTGTTATAATTTATGTATTGTCTGTTTCAAAAGTAAAGGGTATCCCATAATTAACGCAAGATTTTAATTTGCCACCACGTTTGCAGTAAATTGCAGGCAGCCCTAAAAAAAGAACAATTTGACAGCTGAGATGTTAGGGTAGAGCGTTATAGGACGCAATAATGTAGTTTTCATTATCGAATAATAGTTCAAAAATCATGAAAGTTCATCGTCCGCTGTTCGAAAATTTTATACAAAATATGGCCGGATTAATTGAAAAATTCAGAGAGACTGGATCAGTTGGACACGCTAACCACACCGGTCGTCCAAAAACAATCCGTTCAAATGTCCATGTCGAGTGAGTGCATGAGAGTGTTGGTCAAAACCCAGGAACGTCAATTCGGTGTCGTGGACAAGAACTGCAAATTTCAAGAAATTCTCTACAGCGTATACTCACAAAAGATCTGCATCTCTATGCTTACAAAAGTCAATCAAAACAATGCGTAAGGACCATGACCAGGGAAGAAAGTTCGTGGAATGGATTATTGAACATCAACAAGTAGATGCTGATTTTTCGAGTAAAATCATCCTAAGCGATAAAGCACATTTTCACCTAGATGGTTTTGATAATCGCCAAAATTGTCGTATTTGTCGTTCGCAGAACCCACGTGTGATTGTCGAAAAAGGAATGCACCCACAACGTGTCACTATTTGCTGCAGATTTTGGGATCGAAGCATCATTGGACCATACTTTTTTGAAAATGAGGCTGGTGCAGCAGTAACTGTTACTGGTGCTCGATATCGCGGCATGATAACACACTTCTTTCTGACGAAATTGGATGCTGTGGATGTGTCCATTACAGTGGACCTCCGGTAATCCGACAAACATTATGCAGGGCAGTGTCGGACTATCGAATTTGTCGGATTATAGAGCACTGCCTAAGACCCCCTATAGTCCGGAATTTTTTACAAAAGGGTGCCTTGTAATCCGACAAATTACATATCCAATGGTAAGATTATACAGGGTGTCCCAGAAGTCGACGTCAAGCCGAAACCGGGTGATAGGCAAAGTCATAACAGCTATCAGAAAAATATTTAAAAAAATTTTATGTATGTGTTTTGAAAATTATAGAAATTTCACACCATACGGCAGTCTGTCAACTCCTGTTACTACAAATATTAACTTTTTTTGGATTTTATTTTTACAATGTAATGATGAATAGTGCATCTTCAAACTGGTGTCTCAACCTTACTGCCAACTTTTCTCGTTCAGGAAAAATTTCCACTTATTTCCCAACCAAGTATTCCAAAGTAAAACTTTGCTCAACTTTAACTGGCTGTACTGGAAAAAAATGTACTACGAGAGTTTGGCAAGTAACCTTAAAAGTTGGCACATTTAATAAGGATTCCAAAATGGTATAACACTTAGAAGATTACTCGTTAACTTATGCACAATTTTTATTTGAAGAAAAACTGATGAAAATTTTTCAAAATTTCCTAATTAAACAGCGATTATGAAAACGCACAAGTACCCTTAAGGATAACTGTTTGCACAACAGTGGGCGTCAAAATGCTGCTGATGATGATTTACCTTTACAGCAAATGCTCAAACTGTTTTCCTTCAGCCGCAATACACGCTCGACATCTTCTTAAAAAAGATCGGGTTATTAAACGAGCGAATCCACGGTTATTAACAAACTCAGCTGCTTCCAATAGTCTTTGCCGTAGCTCAGCTACATTTTGAATCGGCTTGAAATACACTTTTTCTTTTACAGTTCCCCAGTAAAAAAAATCTAACTGATTCAAATCTGCTGACCGAGCTGGCCAAAATTTTATGGTCGGATGAGACCACATTTAAGAAAGATGGGTACATGAACCTGCATAACTTACACGAGTGGCACGTAGCAAACCCACATTTGATGAGAGAAGATAAATCTCAATATCGCTTCAAGATAAACCATTGGACAGGAATTTTAAATGGTAAAATAATCGGTCCGTTTGAGTTCCCAGAGACTTTGACTGCTGAAGTTTATTTGGATTTTTTGAAAAATCATGGACAAAATTTATTGGTGGACGTGCCACTGAGTATTTACAGGGACATGTGGTTTCAGCATGATGGCTGCCCAGAGCACTATGCACTCTCAGTGAGAGAGTATCTCGATCAAAACTTTCCAGGCAGATGGATAGAGCGGTCTGGTACAATACCGTGGCCAGCTCGGTCACCAGATTTGAATCCGTTAGATTTTTTTTACTGGGGAACTGTAAAAGAAAAAGTGTATTTCAAGCCGATTCAAAATGTAGCTGAGCTACGGCAAAGACTATTGGAAGCAGCTGAGTTTGTTAATAACCGTGGATTCGCTCGTTTAATAACCCGATCTTTTTTAAGAAGATGTCGAGCGTGTATTGCGGCTGAAGGAAAATAGTTTGAGCATTTGCTGTAAAGGTAAATCATCATCAGCAGCATTTTGACGCCCACTGTTGTGCAGACAGTTATCCTTAAGGGTCCTTGTGCGTTTTCATAATCGCTGTTTAATTAGGAAATTTTGAAAAATTTTCATCAGTTTTTCTTCAAATAAAAATTGTGCATAAGTTAATGAGTAATCTTCTCAGTGTTATACCATTTTGGAATCCTTATTAAATGCGCCAACTTTTAAGGTTACTTGCCAAACTCTCGTAGTACATTTTTTTGCAGTACAGCCAGTTAAAGTTCAGCAAAGTTTTACTTTGGAATACTTGGTTGGGAAATAAGTAGCAATTTTTCCTGAACGAGAAAAGTTGGCAGTAAGGTTGAGACACCAGTTTGAAGATGCATTATTTATCATTACATTGTAAAAATAAAATCCAAAAAAAGTTAATATTTGTAGTAACAGGAGTTGACAGACTGCCGTAGGGTGTGAAATTTCTATATTTTTTTCAAAGACCTATAATTTTCAAAACACATACATAAAATTTTTTTAAATATTTTTCTGATAGCTGTTATGACTTTGCCTATCACCCGGTTTCGGCTTGACGTCGACTTCTGGGACACCCTGTATATGTTATGTATATGTATGTACTTTGAAGTACAGATCATACCTAGTTTATGTATGTCGAATTTAGTAAATTAAATAACAATAGAGAGCTTACGTTTTATTATAAAATTAAGCATACATGCACATACATATGTACCAAAATAATCAAGAATTATTAATCAAAATCATTGATGAATTTATCAAATTATGAAGCTTGGAAAAATTCATCATTTTTTTTAAGGTTGTTATAACGCGAGATCAGAGCTTTTTCCCTCAGTCTTCTCAAAATTAAAAGTTCGTTGTAGGATGTACCATTCTCTTCAGCCCATTGTAAACCTAGCTCAAAGGCGTTAATTGCGTCTTGTGCTGTGACTTGTGGAGCAGTTGCAATCACGTCGTCGTTATTTTCCTGATTGTTTGTTGTATAATTAGAAACCTCTTTTATAATCCCTTCGACAGACATTTCATGAAAAAAAAAATTTCCTCTTTATCCATTCCACGGCACCAGATTTCCAAATCTTCCGGACTTATCTGTGTTTCAGTAGCGACTTGTTCTATAACTTCCGAAGTAACACTGATTTGTGGAACGTTGCTAGGAGTGGTGACTATATCTGGCCATAACTTTTTCCAAGACGATTTAATAGTTGAAGACGGTAACGCATTCCACGACTGACAAAGAGCAAAAACCAAGTCTTTCATATTAAATTCTTTTAAAGTTTTTTCTATTGCTTGGTCCTTTGATACGGCTCTCAGAAGTAGGTTTTTCTTATAGTCTTGCTTGACAAACTGAATGATATTCTGGTCCATTGGTTGAATCAGTGCAGTGCAATTTGGCGGAAGAAACATCGCAGTGATGCATTTATCCTCAGTTGTTAGTTTTTCTTCAGACGGATGACCGGGAGCGTTATCAAGAAGCAACAACGCTTTTTGAGGA